GTTCGTTCATTCTTTTCATTGGTGGGATTTGAAAATCTGTTGGTCGGGTATATAATGATTCGTATACTCGTTCTATGTGTTGGTTGTTTTTCTTAACTTCGTCGTGGATATCCGGGAAGAGCTTGAACCGATGATGGAGGCAGCGAATCGTGGACTTGTAGATGCGAGGTAGTCTTGTTTTATTTTTGAATTCTGGTCTTCTTGTAGACTTCTGCAAACCCTTGCTTTTTGTATGGCAAGCAATTTTTAATTGTGATGAAGCTTCTTTCTTTATCCAAATTTTGTGTTTTGAGAATTTTGCTTGAACTTCTCCTTTCTGGCGTGGAACTTCAGATGGAGTGATTTGACGCGTGTCAGGAAGTGTGTTCTTTCCACCTTAAAAGGTTATGCATAAATCTTTTAAGGAGGATAGTCGAGTCACATCGTGGAGTGCAGAGCCACCTTCACTTTTGATGTTCGTTCATTCTATCTTTAGAAGCTCATTTAAGACTGTCGACACGATTAGCTGCTTCAATCGAGAGCTGACGTGACGGACGACACTGTTAGTCGGAAGAGTCGAATGAGCTAAGTGTTCATTATTCAGTAGTGGCCGCTGGGATTGGGACTGTTCTTGGTTGAGGAACTGATCATCGTTTCTTTTGGGAAGTTTTTCCCGACCCCATGTCGTAGGTTGTTCAGTGGCTATTGTTTTGTTTTAATTAGAGAAGGAAGTGGACTTGGAACTCGAACATGCCCCTTACGATATTTGAGACTTTCGAAACCTTTCAAATTGTGAAACGACTGAATTATATATATTGGGCCCAAAATTCTCGTTTATTGGTAAAACCATCTCTTTTTGTGACGTGAGATTGAAACCTTCTTGTGAAACCTTGAACAAAAGCAGACTCTGGCTGGGTGTAGCCACGCGAAGTGGTGGCCGAGCACGCACGATCGTGCTGAGAGACGGGAGGCTTGCGCGCGGCCGACCGTTGACTCGCATGTGAACTGTGGCCGCCATAACCGTACGCATGAACTCCCCAGGCCAGCGTAGACGGCCGACCATCAATGTTTTTCCTGAACTGTTGAAATTGTTTCATGCTGGAATACTTGGTTATCTTTTGAACCGCTTTCGTCCGAACATTGAACCCAGAGCTCCAAGTCCCACTAGATGAGTGTAAATCCTTAATCGATGATTTCTGATTAAGGAGAGTAGTCAATGAGTCCCTATGCCTTATTTGAGAGTTCCTCGAGTGGGCAAATTGGGAATGTCGTATTGCTATTGGTCAATCCTTATGGTTGCACATAAGGGTTGCGTTCGATTCGTGGAGTCGAAATGTTGCGAGTATGAGCATGATAGTGTCGTGCTGTATGTGTGTGGTACCGTGTCGTAGTCTCTGATGGAGACACACAATCCGTGATAAAATCGTGGGCAAGTTATCAATATAACTCGGACACGAGTTTGAAACTTAGCATCACGTGTCCACCTTGTTGGTGTGATAGTCGGAGTACGCTGACAATACACCGAACGACCTCTTGAGGTCTTGTGCGTTGTTAGGTACGAAGTTAATTGTGATACTCGTGGGTATAGGTCAGGCCGGACTGAGCCTCTTGCAAGAAGATGTACGCCTGAATTCGGGCAGGACTGATCACCCTCCCAAGCAAGAAGGTATACATATGAGCATAAGGCGAGTCAGATTGAGTCCTGTACGTGAGTGTATGCTTTTCGAGTATGTCGTTTTCCTTTAGATGCGTGTTCTTTCGTATTTCCGAGGACGGAAATATTTTAAGGAGGATAGATTGTAACGCCCCGTTCGATTTATAGAATTTTTTTTGGAATATTCTATTTATCGAATATTATTTATAAGGTTATAATTATTTTATTAGTCGCGATTTTGACTTAAATAGAAGGTCCAATACTCGATCGTTTATTGAAAAACGTTCGACGTTCGGCGATTTCAGTTAATCGCGTGATTCGAATCAGAGCCATTTGAATATTGTTTTTTTTTACAATTCTAGTTTAATTAATGGCATTGCTTTTAATAGCACGACTGAGTTGTAATCCCGGATTTAATCCAAATCTTTGAATCAAAATAAGAATTAAGTAGATGTCCTCGTCTATTTAATTTTCCTAATAAATTTCCCTAATCGATATTTAAGAGGATGTCCTCGTTTTCTTAATTCTTTTGTTTTGCTTTCGTTTTAATATTTGCCTTATGTGCTTATTTTGCTTTATTTTTCCTAAGTGAAATTTGTGCCTAAGTCATTAGATTTTGAGAAAGTGTACTAAGTACATTTAAATTCGGCCCGCTGTACACCTAAAACCTGACCCTAAAGTTCCTAGCTCGTAATTCAAGTCAAGTCGGCCCTTTCTGCGGCTTTGATTTCTGTTCAAAAGGCTTTTTATGATTTTGTCAACCCTTTTGTTTTTTCGCAGCCCAAACTTGGTCCAAGCAGCTTTGATTATTATTATTGGCCCATGTAACAGTTGATATTGGCCCAAGTTACATTTTGGTTGTAAGACCCTAATCTTTCTTTTCTTCAGCCGTAACTCACTCATCTCTCTCCCTCAGATTTTCTTTTCTTCTTCACTTTCCAATTACTCGTCGTCTTCTTCGGTGAGTAATCGAGCTAATTCAGCCACCGTCGGCGTCCCTCAACGGCCATAGCGAGCAGGCCGTCAAATTCACCTCTCCCCTGTCGGTGTTGAGCCAGAAGCGACGAGCCCCTCACGTCGCGAACCACGTCGTGAACCCTCTTCTCGTCTGCGTATCGGGAGTGACCAACAACAGCCGCCGGGAGCAACCCCGGCCAAGGGCAGACAATCGTGACGGGAGCAGATTTTCGAGAATCCGACTTCAGGTGATTGAGGGTGAATTCACCCGACGACAGCAAATCTCGATAGGCCCGGCTGTGGGCAGGCGAACCCCGTTGTCCAGCCATTCACGGCGATTTAAGCACCAAATGACTGAAACCAGGCCGACGACGAGAATCCTAGCGTTTCAGCGGTTTTCAACTAGTTCGAGCTCTAACATCCAGTTGTGACGAGTCTCGACTCCCGCGAGCTTCACCACCGTTCGGTGACCACCTTTTTGGTCACACTCAGCTTCCGGCAGACTCGACAGTGGCGAGCCACAACCTTCGATCTGGAACCGTGTTTGAGCATCGAGGAGCCTCGTCGGTGACCCGTATGCGAAAGCCGAGAGGCCTATTGGTAACCTTTCAGCTGCTGAGCCTACTCGAGTGTCGAGTTGCAGCCGTTTAGCCGAGCCGAGAACCGACCAAACCGAGCCCTCTTCAGTAGGTATTAGCTGACTCCATTTACCCTCTAAATGGTTGAGATGTTGTGGTTTATTTGTGCTTAATTCTCCGTCCAGAGGCATGTTAAATGTTGAGAAATTTTGGAGTTAGATGCACGGTGTTTTGTTTATGAATAATGTGTAGAAAAAAAGTTCTAAAATATGTAAAATTTTGCCTTGGGTTTGAGTGTTATCGAGGCTGCTGTACATGGGATTATTGTGTTGAAAAGTATGTGGAATAACAGGTTTTACTTTCAACATTATGGCCTTTTTGTTGTGCTTAGGAATCTGTTGAAATTAAGGAGAATGAGGGCTGAATATGTGTGACCTTTGGCTGTGTTATTCGAGGTTGTTAATATGTAAAATTTCATGCTTCAGTTATATATGTCTTGATGCTAAAGAAGTGTTGATCTCATGTTCAATTTATGTGCATATTTCTGAGCTGGATGGGCATTATTTTCACTTATTTGAAGTGTTTAAAATACATGATTAAGGGTGAGGAATTCAGATTTAATTATATGTTTCATGAACTTCTGTTGTTGTTTCTTTTGGAAGCTTTAAGTATGCATTTTAAGGAGATGAAGTTGTGTGTATTAATGATGAATTTCACCCCTTAGTCTCTGAATTGGACATGTTGGTTACTGGTAGCCTTCTTTTTTTTTTCTTGAATATTAAATTCATCAGTGACGTTGTAGTTCCAGTCTTAGATTTATATATTCTATTTACACATGACTTATATATAAAATATGTACGTGACATTCCTGAATTGTATTCTATTATCGTTAGGTATATGGTGAGGTTATATTTACAACGTGCAGCTTAAAGGATTTGTTCTCTTATGCTATTAAAGGCTAAATAAATTGTTGTTGAGTTTGAGAAATAGAAAGAGGATAAGAGAGGCTAGTATGTTGTCTTAGCCTTGTGCTTTATTTGGTTAATTGTTGTTATTGATTATGTGTTATGCTTACTATTGTTGTGTGGCCTAATCAACTGAATCAAAACCCTTAATAACAATTAAATCCAAAATTCTTAGGTTTGAGGAGTTGAGCCCTCGACCTACGTTCTCCAGCTATTTATGCTCTATCTACCACTTCGGTAACCAGGTGGGTTGTAATTGTAAAATTTCTATGCCTTAAATGTTATTACTGTTTTAA